TAACACATCAAAGAAATTTGGCATCACGGCTGACGACACGGTCTTATTTTTTCGACGCGTGAAGTGAAAAGTCGCGTTTCCATCGTCGTCAGCGTTCAGAAAAAAAAATTTAAAGATGAACCAAAAACCTCATCCGAAGCGAGGAACACAACTCAGAGCCAAGCAGCCGCAGCGAGGTAAGCAATAATTTAATATTTTTAATCAATATAGTCTGTTTCATCGTAAAACAAAACGATGAAACCGTCGCCATTGGAATTCCTTTGGCCACAATTTTTGCGCGTTTTGCCTGCAGAAACAGACTGACAATGTTTTTTTCATTTATAGAAAACCCACCTTCGAAACGCCCAAAACGGAGGCAGCATTTGGAGGTTAATACTGCCACCGAACTGAATCGACAGGACATGAAGGATAAGGTTAGTGATTCACCTTTTTATTTTTTTATAAGGTTTGAAAATTATAATTAGGGCTAATGCATATAATTTTAGATAGATCTGGAATTAGGGCGTAACAGCTCTCGATTATTTCTCGAAAGTCATGGTTCTTGCTGGAAAATCGACATCACCAACGAGTATGGGAAGAGTTCCCCTATCCGATGGATATGTTGGTTTGTATGGCCGTGTCTTAAGTTCCTATAAATCAACGAGAGAAGTCATTGTTTAGAAAGGTTGATACGCCTTAATTATAGCTCTATCTAGAATTATAGTCGTGGGTCCGATTGGAATATAAAACAAAATTATTTATTCACTTCAACTAATTCAAGTTGAACATTGCATTAGGTCCAAAGTAACATTGACAGATTATATTTGTCGACTTTCTCTTTGCATCCCCACGGCCATGTAAATACTTTCCAAGCTATGTTCAGCAAACAGATCGATAAAACTTTCGATTTTACTCTTTTTCTGTACGTTATAAATAGTGTCGGAAGTATTGCACTGTATAGCGCATCATTGTACGATTACAGCGCACTATTCCCGACATTGTGTATAAGTACATATAAATGGAGAATAAAATCAACTGTCACTAGTATATTTTTCCGGTTTTCAACTGTACCGATATTTATTAAGTAACCCATACGTGCCAAACCTTTTCCGCCTAAAGAATCAATCTTGGCTCTAATTTCGTCATTATTAAAGGGTGTCCACGATGAAATTGCCACACACAAAATTGATTCGCAAAATTCGAGTTTTCATCCGATTGCCATCAAATTTTCAGGGATTGAGAAATAACTATTAAACTTCATTTTACCATTTTACTCGTATTTTATTTACAGTCCATACGCAAATGCCCGCACCTTGGCCTTAACCCCGGCCATAAGATTATGCACAACCTGTGAATCAACCGTTTTTTGCATGTAAACTCATACTTTCTTCAGTTCCTCGACTGTCTTCACTACCTTAGGTCGTTTAAGAAGGTGCTGCTTCATAATCGCCCAGTACTTCTCGATGGGGCGGAGCTCCGGAGTGTTGGGAGGGTTGAACATTTTCGGCACGAAATTGACCTTATTGTCCGCATACCACTTCAGCACGTCCTTGGAGTAGTGGCATGAGGCCAAATCCGGCCAGAAGATTGTTGGGACGTTGTGGGCCTTCAGGAGAGGAAGCAGCCGCTTCTGGAGGCACTCTTTTATGTAAACCTGTCCGTTCATCGTGTCCTGGGTCACGAAAGGTGCACTCCGCTTCCCGCACGTGCAGATGGCTTGCCAAACCAGGAATTTCTTCGCAAATTTGGACATATTCTGAGTACGGACATGCTCCGGAACGCTGAACTTATCCTTGGCCGTGAAAAACAGGTTGCCGGGGATCTGTTTGAAGTCGGCCTTCACATATGTTTCGTCGTCCATGATGCAGCATTCAACTTTCGTCAGCATGTTGAGGTACAACTTCCTGGCACGGGTTTTGGCGGACTTGTTCTGCTTCTCGTCGCGATTAGGGGCCTTTTGTACCTTGAACGTTCGAAGCCTAGCCTTAGTTTTGGCCTTCTGGACAAAACTTCGGCTTAGGTGCAGCTTCTTAGCCACATCCCTAACGGAGGCGTTCGGATTTCGGTTGAAGGCCCCAACTACGCGGTTGTGATTTTTGGTGTTGTACGGAATACTTTTTCCTTCACTTCTGGGCTTCCGATCGGTGGTCAACCGTTCCTCGAACCGCTTAATCACTCGCGACACCGTGGAATTCGCGATTCCCAACGTTTTAGCGATGGAACGATGCGAGAGATCCTTGTTCTCGTGATGAATGCGCAAGATTTTATCACGCACGAGCTGTTCTTTCGATTCCATTTCCGCGAGTTTTGATCACAGGACTTTAAAACTTGCAGGATGTAAATAATGCACTATGAACTAAATCCACCCAAATTTTCATTAAATTCTACCCAACGGTTAAAAAGTTAGAGCAATTTCATAGTGTGGCAATTTCATCGTGGACGCCTTTATCTACTTGCAGGGGTTATGGTTTGTTTACCATGGGGTGCATTTTACCCCAATGTTGTGGTGCGTTTTGGCCATTGTTGTCGTGCGTCTTGTCCCAATGTTGTGGTGCATATTGCATCATGAATCAGGCGTTTTGCCCCGCTATCATTTTGGAAGCAATTTAGAAAATACCTTGAAAGTCATGGAAAATCATCCTTTTGTAGTTCTAAATCACTCGATCTTTGTAGAAAACATGGTAATGAACCAAACGCCATTACTTTCTTCTTGATTTTAGCTTCCATTCGCCAGCCATTGACGATTTTGCTTAAAGGGTGCGTTTTGCACCATCCTACCCTAAGTGTGCCTGCGATTTGCATTGAGGGTCGGAGATTGTAAGTAATCTGAAGAATGCATCGCTGGATACGCCCAAGACTGGACGGGCAGTAGCTGGTGGCCGTGAACGGTTCCTGGGGAAAGCACTAGATGCGACCCTCCTCCCAGATGACCATGGCAATACAGGAAGTATTGGTATTGGAAGGTAATTGCTATTAGATATTTTGCAAACAGTGACAGATAGCGGACATGAAGAACCAGTGGAGGTGCCGGGCAAAGGTGTTTATCCTAGACAAATGGTAAGTTACAAATTCGCTGTTGTCGTTGTCGTAGTCGTAGGCAGTACCGTTAGTATATTTAAAATTAACCACCAACCGCTGAAAATATGAATTATGGCGTATTTCTGTTGTTCATTACATGCCAAGGTGGAGGCGAACCAGCCTAAGGCTGAAAGCCTCCTAAATAAAGCTAAATAATAATAATAATACATGCCAAGTAAAATTCGAGAACGTAATTTCATTTGAATAGCTTGTTCAACCAGGTCTTAAACAATCGTCACGTCGGTCATAGCTTGTTATGATTACCTGAACCATGCGTAAAGAGAAAATCGAAACATTTAAGACCCACGCACATTAGATCCGTTTGCGTTGCGTTGACGTAAATTTGACAGCTAGACACTAGATTTAGCTGTCACTTTGCCGCAACGCGTCCGATCCGGATCTAATGTGCGTGGGCCTTTAACGTCGCGTGAAAATGGATCTTAATGAAGGCCTCTTTCATAGCTTTTAGTTTAAGGATTTCAAAGATCGTCGGTTGCAGTGGCTTGCTTACTGAGCAGAAAAACGCGGTCCCAGATCCTTTCATATTAAAAATGTATGGTTAGATCGCTTGTTTATCGTGTATTTCGCAAAACTTTTCGTTGTCGTCGGTGCCGGGTCTGAATAGTCATAAAAACTTGAGTAACGCTATAATGTGATATGAGGGGCTCGGTGGCCTTAGAGCAACCGGTTTTACTTACTGAGCAGAACATCATGAGTCTAATCTCAAGCCCATCCACATTCAAGATTCGTCAATCGTTTTATTTGTTAACATTACTACATGGTAATAACAGCAACTCGATGATAAAAAAGGAGCTCGTCTGCCTAGTGGCAAACGTTTTTGCTTACTGAGCAGAAGACCGTGGGTTCAATCCCAAGCTCCTTCGCGTTATATGATTGTTAGGACATCAATTCAGCTTATCGTTTACCAAAACGAACCCTGCTGCAAACCCAACCCTATCACCCAATATCCCAGTGATTCCTCGTGGAAGTGCAGAGGTGTTCTCGGCTTCCATCAAAGCGAGTGTCACGTCAACACATTCCTACCCCTTCCTTTCTTGACCTGTGTTCGGGCGCGGCCGGCGCTGGTATTGCCTAGTTTGAGATCACCAGTTTTTACACATTGAGGATGATTGCTAGTCCCAAGCATCGTCTATTGGTTCTCTGTGTAATTACAGCTGGTCTGGCAATAACAGAGTAGCAACCGTGGGTGGTCAATCATGCTCATGCTCATGCTCAAAAAGTGTCCAAGTCACTAAAAGGTGACTCGCTACCAGGCCTACTATTAAGACCGGTATTTTTTTTTTATTGTCTGGAGAACTTCAAAAGTGATATTCCAGGAACTTTAAGTAAAATATCAGTGTACTTTCATAACATTCCAGTAGTGGTCTAAAGTGGGTTCCTAAGTATTACTTGTTGACGGTACTCTATCTTGCATCAAAAGTTCTCCATTATAAAGTACTGATCTTAACCAAATTTATTTGAAAACGAAAGTTAAGCATGGCACGCATTATTGTTGTGATAACTTGACAAAAAAGAAAGTCCACGTGGACATCAGGGTAGGGTGAGGAGTCGGGCCTATGTTCACGCTTGTCCACGGAGGGGAGTCAAAAATCATGCTTTTTCTGTCCCGGGGTATATGGATGGCTCCTAAACACGTGCGAAAGTAACATTATTGTGGACCACCCCCTTTTCCCTCGTAACATATTTTGCTATACCTATTACATGGCACGTCACAACTTCTGAAATCTCCCATCCACCCTCCGTGATTTATGCATGTTCGTCAACGCCACGGTTTTTCATTTGCTAATCAAATTGTCCCCACAAAATGATTCATATAAAAAAGATTCTTACAAGTCATAAACATATCATTTAAAAGAAAGCAGTTAAGGCGGTAAATTTTCGAAGAAATTCTCTCATAATAAAACACACGATTATCTTTCAAGCTGGTTGAAAATGGTTTATTTTCCTTCTTCTGTTCATCTTCGGCAAAAGGTACAAGGCAAATCGAAATATACCAGAGAAAACAGATCTTAGCTTCGTTTACAAATTATGCACGAACGTAGAAAGAATTGCTAATATCAAGATTGAATGAAACACCGATTTGATACAATTTGGATTAAGAGATATAGCTGTTTTGTTGTGTAGTAGTTTCGGTTTTGCGACACCAGTAACGCAGTAGAACTTATGTTAAATGAAGTTTCAATGTTTCCTTGATGAGAGTTAACTCTTTTCCTCATTATAAGTTTATCTTATTACAAACTGGGTAGGATGGTAGCTTGTCGATACATTTCAAACCACGGAAGACTAACTAGTTTTCTGTGAATTTGTGTTTTTTAACGATGAGTTAATAAGAAGCAGGGGATACCTAAGCATTGAATTGAGTTCTTTTATAGATAATTTCATGTAACTTTAGAGCTCAGTCTGGTGTCGCCGAGTTGGGTTGCTGTATTATGTTACATATTCTACGAGCAAAGTAGATTCCTACAGATATGCATTTCATTTGAAATGTATTGTCTTGCAAAACGTTTGTGAGATTGTTGCTGCTTGTTATCATTAATAGAATGTACCATTTTCCATTAAATGTTAGTGAAATTGTATGTATTCTATCATTCATGTTGTCGGTCTTGCTTTAAACAATCACTCCCAGTCAAAAGAAAACCATATTTACAAGATTTTATTAACCTCTTTGACTATGTTACTGTGTTGCACTTTGATAAAAAAAAATGCTTCAATGATGCAACAATCACAACCAAAAACAAACCATATCAAACGAACGATCATTGATGAAAACGAGGCATTGATTTTATCAATTTTATTAAATCACTAAAATTTGACCTGTCGGAAGTTTTACCGAAAAAAAAACTAAACTAATATCACAGCAAACTTAATGCAAAATAGAACTACGCGTCTGGAAGTGTTTCTATCACCAGATTTATGTAAATGTGAGTGTGTGGTATGCATAATTTGATTTTATACTATTTGCATAGTTAGTCCCTGTTCTTGTCTTTCGTGTTTCTTTTGTTTTCGGTATTCTACCTTGCTAGCTTAGAAAACTAAACTTCAAACGAATAAGCAAGGGCAGGCATGAAAAATCATTTGCATTCATTTGCTTCTAACATTATTCATCAACAGAATTCATTAAAATTATGTATGTATGTATAAATGTGAAGGTTTTGATATTAGCTACTACTTTTGTAAATCACTCAAATCGTTATCTCTTATGCATGATGAACCAGTGAACAGAACCCACCATATTTTTTCAGTGAATGTAAATTAAAAAAAAAAAAAAAAACAATAGCAAATTCGGCCCGCTCGAATTCGTCATGCATAAGAGATTGTTGTAAACTGTTCACAAAAGTTTTAGCTTATCTTTAAAACCTACAAAAATTTCATACATCATTTTATGGAAAAAGCAAATGAATGTAGATGATTTTGCATGCCTGAGCAAGAGCATTTATTATACGTTTAAGTCCGATCATTACCGATAAATCTGTGAATTCATATCCCATCTTAAAACGAAGCATTGACTTCCTACTTATTTACGTAACACGATTGTATCTATCATTTTTTTCTCGATCCGTGATCGGGTAGTGTGTGATAATCTCAAAAAGTGCATCATATTTCAAGGTTTTTCATTCCCAGCATTTGCCCAGCTTTAGTTCGTCCTTGAAGTTTAAATGTTCAAAAATCAACATTCTAATGATAATGTACAGTTATGTGCGTGTTGGATGAACTGATGCGTCTGTGATATCCTAGATTCCATTTTGAATAAACCACTTTTCAGTATATTTGTCTGGCACACTTCATGTTTCATCACTGAAACTGCTAAGCAAAATGAAGTTCTGATTCGTTACCGTTTGTTTAAAAAGAATTTGCTTTGCTAGGAGTAATGTAAAATTAGCTGAACCACGAGCCTAGTGTCTTGGATTTCCCGTCCTTTGTTACCTGGGCTGCTGTACCTGAAATGAGGAATGTAAATTGAAATGTTTATATTCTTTAAAAAACTGTTTATTATAGGAATACATAAGGAAAAGTGGGACCTTTGCCATCGGCCATGATATTAATACAAGTATTTGGACCTAGTAAATGTTGCAAATAATTGTATTTTGCTAAAGCTGCATTTGTTTTTAGAAATTGGGGCATTTTTACTGTAGATCTCAGAATGCCGAAAAAATAAATTTAAGTCCCAAAATCAACAATATTTTTAGATCCATAATTTTGAAATAGGGGAAATGGCTCTAATGTTGACCTATGGATCTAAGATTGAGCCCATCGCTGAAAATCTGCTATTTATCAATTTTATCTAGATAAACGCGTCATTGGGACGGTACTAATGGATATTTTTGGTCGCTATTGAAAATTTAGTCGATTGCTGAATTTATGTATGGGCCCAAATTAGGGGAATTTAGGCCAACATTACATCCATTTCCTCTATCTATATACAAAACAATGCTGGGACCATCAGGGCACCCGATTGAAGTGATTTGGATGGGCATAGTGAAAATGACAACTCCTTGTTGCTAACCTTTCGTGGATAAAGGGCGGGCTCTTCTCCCCATTCATTGAGGCATGTTCTTGTTGAATGGCTCATTTTCTGACCAATTAGCTGATCAAGTTGTTTGAAGGAGATTCTTAACTGTTTCAAGGAAACGAATAGGCGAATTGCCTATCAATCCATCCATTCGTTTTGGGCCCTTCATACAGAAACATGGTGAGAACAATCAGAGGTTATTAAGCATGATCAAGTTCAACAGTGAGGAGAGCCCAAAGCTATCAGACTTGTTTCCGTGCTACAATGAGTGGTAGACCACTATCACCATTATCATCACTAGGCCAAATGATATCTTGCTGAATGGGTCATACGACAAAATTGTAAGGAATGAGAGATTGAACTAAAAAAATGCGTAACAAAAAATGAACTTGATACAAATAAGATTCTAACCGGCGCCGGTGGTGTAGTGGTAAGCGTCACTACTTTCTAACACCCCGATGGGTCTGGGTTCAATCCCAGCCGAGGTCGGTGGGATTTTTCTGAGGCATAGAAATCTCTGGTCACGTCTTCCTTCGGAAGGGAAGTAAAGCCGTTGGTTCCGGCCCATGTGTGTTGAATGAATGGGTGCGATATCCTACGCAGGTTTGGAAGCTGCCTTCTTGCACATTCGATTGCCGTCAATCGATGTCCGTCGGTGATTGGCACTAGATTGCGGAACAGAGACCGACGTTAAATAAAGGAAAGAAGACAAATAAGATTCTAAATCTTATGATAATACTTCAACACAATTGAAGCAAAATAAGGGGGGTTATGATAACTTGAATGAACTGCTGTCGCAAGTTGATTGGTCTGAAGTATACTAAAGCCATGACGTCGATAGCACTGTCAGCTCCTTCAACCGTATTCTGCACAATTGCATCATTCCAACTTTACCGCTAAAAAGGCCCCTAAGGAATCCTGCTTGGCCCAATGCGCATCTTCGCATATTGTAATCGTTACAATCGTTTTTTGTACAAAATGTACGTTAGACGGAGACAAGATAATCTTCGGCGAAACCCGAAACTGTTTTGGAGCTTTGAAAATTCAAAACGTAAGGAGAGTGGCTTGCCGACTTCGATGCACTTAGGAGATGTTCATGCTCTTTCTGCAGAAGCAAAGTGCGAGCTTTTCTCTAAAAAAAAATTGTCAGCGTGTTTGAGATTCGTATGTCAACTGTGGAGGAGATAGTTGTAGCTGTTGATCTAGTATCAAGAGACGCGGTGGATCTTTATGTATTCAACATCAACACAGCGACGGTTGAATCAGCTCTACAGAAACTCCAAGCAGTTTTATCAACCAGACCCGGCTGGCATTCCTTCGTGTGTATTCAAAAAGTGTAGTGCACTTTTGGTTGCTCCTCTCCAAGCAATGTTCAACCAATCATTGCAGCAACAATGGTTTCCTTCTGCTTGGAAGACCTCCCGTATGGAAGCATGCACAAGAAAGGCGATAAGTCAGATATTTCTAACTACCGTGGGATAACTTCCTTGTCAGATGGATCTAAGTGCCTCGAAATCATGAGCATGAGCATAAGCATGATTGACCGCCCACGGTTGCTACTCTGTTATTGCCAGATCAGCTGTAATTACATAGAGAACCAATAGACGATGCTTGGGACTAGCAATCATCCTCAATATGTAAAAACTGGTGATCTCAAATTAGGCAATACCAGCGCCAGCCGCGCCTGAACGCAGGTCAAGAAAGGAATGGGTAGGAATGTGTTGACGTGACACTCGCTTTGATGGAAGCCGAGAAATACTCTGCACTTCCACGAGGAGTCACTGGGATGTTGGGTAAGAGGGTAGGGTTTGCAGCAAGGTTCGTTTTGGTAAACGATAAGCTGAATTGATGTTTAAACGATAGGGAGGGGTTACTGTATAAATAAATAAAACAAGAATGATTTCAGTCAAATAACCAAAGCTGCACCAAAAGCAACCGGCCAAATTCATATTATATTATAATAAAATAAAAAGTAAATAACAATGATAAGCTATTTGATGCACCTTCTGGTCCTTTAGGATCTACAGGACAACTTTTTTCTAGAAATGAAAATTATAGTTATATAATGATAGTTATATAGTGATATAATGAGATTTAAAAAATGTGAAATAAAACTAATTTACTAGTCATGCAATATATAAAATAATGTTAAATAAACAAGTATTACAAAATACAAATAAGCTCGATTTCAGTTAACCTCAATACATTCAACTGATTTCAACTTCTGATATTTTATTGGAATTGAAACAAACACTTTATTATGCACCATGGAATTTCTTAACGCAATATGGAATGCTTTTTTTAAGATATTGGTAAGCTTTCATAATGCATCAATAGTCAGACAAATCGAGGTTATTTGGACAGTTAACAGTTTTTATGCAATTGTAATCATGCATTCCAATGTTTTTTGTATTTTCCTGAACGAAGGCTGAAAATAGTGAATCATTATAATATTAATCTAAAAATGTCGAAGAGCTGAAAATAAACTTAAAGATTTAAATCAATGCGTCCAGCCTAAACGGAGGGCTCGCGAACACAATAAGCTTCCTCATCACTCATATTCAGAATTTGATTAAATAAGAATTTACAAATATACAAATAAATACATCAATAAGTTATGTAACTTTCTATCCTGGAAAGGAAAAATTAAATGGTTAATTTCACTGTCATATAAACGTTAAACATACATTAGAGAAAATCAAATGATGTTAAGTTGCTTCTTCCAGTTATGTTTTGACCCTGTTATAAATTCAAAGTGTTTTTTATGTTACTTCATACGCGAAGTTAACGATTTTCAGAGTTGGTTGGAAATGCTAACATGAAGCTTTAGTGTGATGATTTATTAGCTAGAGAATGATCTTTTCGAAGAGGGTAGGTGGATAGTTCCGTTAGAGTACGGCAGTATGAAAATTGAATAGAAGTTGAAAATGAGCGAAGGGCCATTAAAGCGACAGTTCTATCTTGTAAACTGTCGCTTTAATGGCCCTTCGCTCATTTTCAACTTCTATTCAATTTTCATACTGCCGTACTCTAACGGAACTATCCACCTACCCTCTTCTAAAAGATCATTCTCTAGCTAATAAATCATCACACTAAAGCTTCATGTTAGCATTTCCAACCAACCCTGTTATAAATATTTATCAATGAATCCTGATGAATGTGGGCGTCTTAGTGGAATACCTGTATAATGAGAGAGAGAAGGATTAGTATTTTCCATTTAATTCCACTACTTTATTTGCTTATCCTTGACAGATACGCGTATTTCGTCTACAATGTGCAGACTTCTTCAGTGTCTTGTACTAATACTCGACTATCATTTATTTATCAATGAATATTTAATAATAATAACATAGGACCTAGAATGTATTCAAGCTCAAACTATATCAAGATGGAAATAAAATCATAGTGAATTATTCGTATACACCTAACCGTAAAAAGCCGAGGAACATGCATCATGCAACCGTGGTCATCACTCTGACAAATGAAACGATGAACGATGAACATACATAAATCTCGAATACTCCCCCGAAGGGACGCATCCACTCCCGCAAACAATGCATCCGGCGCAACCAGCATCCCGCCCACGCATGCCAATACCACCATCAGATAGGAGAAATTTTCCCCTACCTGATGGCGGCGCCAAAACGCGTGGGCGAGCCACCAACCACACCAAACCGACAATCAAACGCACTGCCCACAAAAGCAGACCCGTCCCCTCGAAAATGCAATCAAGAAATGTGTAAGAACAATCTTCAACTGGAACATACTCACCAAATCAATACATCCGGGAGTGCATTCCTGATGCTTATCTTTCTCTAGTCATCTCTAAACAACCACAACTAAACATCTTTCCACTCTGTACACAAAGTAATGCATTTTGCAAAAACCTAATAATAGATCCACGCGGTCAAGTACCAGCTCCACCGTTACATTTCTTGGGTCGATTCTAAGCTACAATAAACTATCAAACATGACCAAACACAATCACGATAGTGAAATCGAAACTTAAACGCACGAAATCTTTCCAATTCAGACACAATAGTTAGCTCCAAAAGCTCTTTCTACACATCAACCAACACTACTAATAGCCTCACAATAATTATATTTAATTTTCCTCCCGCCGATTCTAGCCGCACAAACCGCCAGAAACACAAAATTCAAATAGCGATCTAAGTGCCTCGAAATCATCATCAATCAAGTACTGTTCAGCTCTTGCAGGAACTACATCAGTGCCTCTCAACACGGATTCTACCCCAAACGATCCGTGGACCTCGCCGTGGACAGCAATCTGTGTGAACTTACGTCTTTTTGCATCGGCACAATGTACGATGGGGCTCAGGTTGATGCTGTATACACCGACATAAAGGCTGCTTTTGACACCATGAACCACGATATTCTTCTTACCAAGCTACTTCGACTAGGCGTTTCCAGCAGAGTATGTAATTGGCTTCGTTCGTACTTAAGCAACAAGCAACTCTTTGTTAAAATTTGATCAACAGTGTCTGCTCCGTGTACTTCGTGCTCTGATGTGCCACAAGGTAGCATCATTGGTCCGTTGTTATTCGTATTATTTTTCAATGACGTGACGATCCTTTTAGCAAATGGGGGACTCGTATCGGCGACGCAAAAAGCCTATTTTATACAACTACACGATCGATGGGCAGGAACTAGAGCGCGTTGATTAAGTGAAGGATCTTGGAGTGTTGCTGAATCACCAATTCACGTTCAAGATGCATTATTCAGCTGTTGTTGACAAAGCCAACCGTCAACTACGAACCTGCTGTGCCTAACGTCTTACAACACATACAGTTTGATTGCTCGGACCCAAACGGACGTTATCTACACAGATCTTACGGCAGCCTTCGATTAGCTGAACCACGAAATTGCGATCGGTAAGCTTGATAGGCTAGGGATCGGTGGAAATCTTTTGAGATGATATCGTTCATACCTCACGGAGAGCCAATTGACAGTAACTTTGGGTACTTGTCGCTCAGCAAGCTTCTGTGCAAAGTCCGGTATACCTCAGGGTAGCCATCTGGGACCATTGTTATTTCTCCTTTACTTCGACGACGTTCACCATGTTATCACAGGGCCACGATTATCGTTTGCAGACGATCTTAAAGTTTTTCTGCGCATCCGCTCACTCGCCGACTGCCGTTCTCTCCAAAATCAGATTGACATCTTTGCTGACTGGTGTAGTCTAAACCGACTGGTGGTCAACCCAGCTAAGTGTACAGTTATTACTTTCTCACGCAAGAAACAACCGATTATTTTCAACTACAAACTACTAGGCACGACTATCGAACGGGTACATTGCGTGAAAGACTTAGGCGTTTTTCTAGACTCAAAGCTGACATACTCACACCATATATCGTTTGTCGTCGACAAAGCGTCCAGAACGCTTGGCTTTGTCTTCAAGATTACTAAGAACTTCACAGACTTCACTTACTGCTTGAAATCGCTCTATTGCTCTCTCGTACGATCTACGTTGGAATACTGCTCTGCAGTCTGGAGCCCGAACTACAATAATGGGGCCGAGCGAATTGAATCTGTGCAACGACGTTTTCTTCGCTTCGTGCTCCGTAAGCTACCTTGGAGCCTATTTTCGTTTATAACTGTAGTAACTGTAGTATATGTAGTCTGTATAATCTGTACTTTTTTTTTACAACGCATCATTGGGACTGTTTCTAGTCTGTTGTTTGTTATTGTTATTTCTCAGTTCACACCCTGGCTGGCTGCTGCCTACCGATCTGCACTTAAGCCAGGCATGAACCTACGGAAATATAGTCGTGGCCTATGCTAGACCGTATAGCATAACGACTTTCTTTTCACTAGCAGGCATTTTGGTCCCACTAGCGTCCGATTAGGGGATAGTAAGAGATTAAAAGAATAAAGAAGAGAGATAGAGGATTTTGTTGTTTTACTGAAAAGAAAAGAAAAAAAAAACACGCCAGCTTGTTGTGCAACATCAGGTTTGTTCGCTTTCATTCCGTTCCAAGGGGCAACGTGCATCGTCGTCGTACTCAAATATCTGGGAACCTCCAGAGGTGCACAGGGCCAAAATAAAAGACTTCCATTCTGGGCAGCTGCTTGACCTGGGCCCAGGTCAAATTCCTATCGGCTTGCTTAATTTCCTTGTTGACGCTTCGCCGCCTTAGTATTTGCCTTTGCTGCGATGTTCTGGCGGATTTAATTCATAATCAAACGCTTGCCTGCAGACTGTTTCTATTGCTATCGGCTTCTGATGACATTTACATCTGAGATCCATTTGTGAGGCCACCAGCCACAAGTTATATACCGCAGGCAGCGGTTGATGAGACCTGTAGCTTTTGAGTGATCTCCACTGGTGCTGCACAGATTCCACGTTTTAATCGAAGTTTCGAATTTTGATACGTTGACCAATCTGATTTGATCTCCGCTTTTGTGTAAATGTAATATTATCACCGACCTTATTACCATCACCTTAGTGTGTGACATCAGGTGTACTACAAATAATCGCATAACAGTCCCATCTTTGCTTAATTTCCTATCCATATGGGATTGATATGCGATTATGGGCAGTGTACGCTCCTCTGTGTTTTCGTTACCAATGCAGTTAATTTGACACGTTTGTTGCATTTCTGTATGTCTCAATATTATTCTTGCTGAACCACCGTCAAACCCACTATCCAGAGACAGCGAACCACTTTAACACCTGAAATTATACAAAAACAAATTAAACATGAGCACCAAACCACCCCCCCCCCCCCCACCCTTTCCCTGATTGCAACAGCTCCAAGCCATGCAACAGGATCATTTCTTGCCCCATGACAACTTGATCCAGTTGCTTTCAGGTTCATTGTTTTGGCGCCAGCCGGGAGAGACTTGGTCCTGTACCAAATGCTTTCCTTGTCTCCATTCCGCTCAGCTACTCGCAATTGATTGTGATATAGCGGGCGGAATATTACAATGTGAGACAAATTCAATGCAGACGTCTTCCAAATTTGGCCGATCGTCAGGTAATCAGTGGGTTACCACCTGGCACCTCTTAGCAAGCACTATGCTACGAAGCGGACCGGAAGTTTCAATGAACAACATCCCCCACTATTTCTAGTCTATTTCTAGTCTGTTGATGCAAACATAACGAATAAACAAATAAACAACTAGGATTTAATTTAAAAATCGTGAAAGACTTCAATGATCCATTTTGCTTGCTCTTTATTGCTCTCTAGTTAGATCAATACTAGAATTTGCATCGGTCGCCGTATGAAGCTGTGTGGATCTCCAGGATCGAATCATTGGCGTGACCCAGTAAACTTACCGCCTTATGAGCATCATTGTGCTTTGCTGAGTATCGACCCGCTGGCAAATCGTCGTAAGATGGATCAAGCTGTATTTGGAGCTAAGATACTTCGCGCAGAGTTTGATAGTTCAGCCTTACTGGATCGTATGAGGATTTATGCCCCAGAACGAGTGTTGCGGTCACTAATCCAACCAACTCCGGGGAATACTTTATATGGCTCCAATAACCCCGTTAACTCTATAAGCAGACGGTTTCAAGAAAGGTATCATGTTTTTGATTTTAATATGCCTACAAACACTTTTAAACAACGTTTACGATCTCTGCATATTTTAATTGAACTAGGTTTAAGAATGTTTCATTAAGACCACGATGTCAGATAACTACTATGTTCAAATAGTAAAATAACTATCGAGGAAGATAAAGTTGGTTGAGTTGGAGGCGAACCAGCCCCAGGCTGAAAGCCTCCCTAATAAAGATAAATTAATTAATTAATTAAAGTTGGTTGTATGCTTTTTGTATATTCCTGAGAAGGTTCTCTGATTAAATAAATACTATTCCTAAAAATTTGGAAGATATGGGAGTTTGAAATTCCCTGAGAATTCATTTTTTCCCCCATGCAATATAAAATTTCCTAAAGACTCTAGGTTTTCAAGTTTTTTTTTAGGTAATAAACACCCTATGACACCCACCACAAGGTCATCAACGTGCAACTATGGACAGCTCAATTTTTATCCTATTTATTCTATAAATAAGTGAGCACGAATATGATTATCTGCTAGAAAACGCCAACGAGACTACATAGATAAGCTCAAAAATACAGTTTCAACTGATAATATTTAATAGACATCAGTCTGTCCAACACTATAAGCTCCGCACAACTCGCGGCGCCTGCACGGTTCATCGATTGCAAAGTGTAGTATTTCTTGTTATAAATATCAAATATGTCGTATGTTATAATTTTATCCTTAGGTAAACTTAGTAATTATCACCCATATTCTCGTTCACGCCACCCACCCCACACAAAAATAATAATTTTCTTAACTGAAAAACACATCCTGAACAAAAACGAGAATATGGTTGTATATCTTCACTATCGCAACTTCGGGTAATCCTCGAAGGTATTTGTGTTCCATTCTGGCACATTTGAATTACCTGAAATTACTCTCTCCTACTCGAATTGTGCTTCGACCCTGTTTGGGGCAAAACAAAAGCTGTCCTTAAAGCCATGGCTTTCCAAATTGTCTTAAGAACAACTCATACTGAACAAAAGCAGCCAGCCGCATAATGCTTTACGATCAAGGTTACCAGTCGTCTGCAATCAACTGGTTATCACCTCCCGCCGCACACCTTATCGATAACGTTATACAATGAAGCTATCAAACTTACCCGCCGTCTGACTGATATGATTCACGCCCATCGTTTCGAGCTTCCTGAGGAGAACCCCCAGGTTGAATTTGTTACTCTCCAGTACGCCACTGCTAATCCGTATCTTTGGTGGTTTATTGTTTTTGGTTTGAGTATGCCAAACCAATATTTCCGTGCAGTTGTTGGCTTTCGGTTCGATATCCTGCATCTTCAGTCCAATGCTCTTGAGAAATTCATCCTCCTCGTAGCCGGCCTTGAACGGCATCGTCACATTCGGACTGAGACCCATGTATTCCAGATTGACTGCGAATCCGGCCATATCCACGGGCCATTTCCGTTTCGCCGGCCAAGAGTCGAAAAAACCGTCAACTTTACCCTTAAAACGATGGAAGGAATTCATTAGTACCCATGTACTCGCATATCGCTGTGTAAATACATACATGCTTCACCACCGGTGTGCTGACGGCATAATCGCCAATGAGGCCCACCGGAAACATGGATACTTTTTTAGTGCTGCGAATTTCGCTGAACAACTTCAGGTCAAAAGTGTTATCATCGTCGCCGAAATATAGTACACCTGCCTTTTTATTATTGTTACGTATCCAAGCAAGTGCGGCTCGCCGATTAGCAACACCCCGGGGGACAAGCTTCTTGGTGCGATAAAACTCCGGCATAGGACTAGCAATGTGGGTGTAGGGAATGCCTATATGAATCATATAGAAAATACAACCGGCATGAGTCATGGAATTATGTACCAACAAACAAAATCAAACAACCATTTACCGAATTTTTTAAGCAGGTTGTTGAGGAAGTTACTACACACAGGCGTATCGTCTGCTACTATCCAATGCAGATAAGGAATGTGCATCAACGTTTGACCGAGGCGTGTAATTTCTGCTACCTGTTCCCTTCGAGGATAGGTTGGCGTCACGAAGTAGATGATCGGCTCAGGATCTGCATGGACGATGCTGTTATCACTGGCGATGGAGCTGTACAGCAGTTTGCGGGTGTCCTGAAAGCTTTCGAAACACACCACCATGCTGTCATTCTCCGGAACTGTCGAGTATTCTTTGTTAGTGTCATCTGGGAAATAAGAAAAAAAAAATAGAGGGAGAGATAGAGAAAGATAATTAATACTCGGTCGTCTCAGGGATGTGATGTTAAGTAGGGAGTTTTTAGGGGCTGTTCATAAAGTACGTAGACCGTTTTTGGGATGTTTTAGACACCCCCCTCTCCCCGCGTTGAAAATCGTGCATACACATTTTTGGAAATTTGTATGTAACATAGACCCCCCCCCTCCACCTGTCTACATGGTTTATGAACAGTCCCTATTACTGATATTGATCGATAGCATCTACACCGTGCAGTTCAAAGAGTAGATTGAAAAACATAGAACTGATCATTATAAGTTAGTATAACCTTTGCACGGTTACATAGCAACTTGCAAACACATGACAAACAGTCGGATTTCGGTACAGCGAGCTTGTTGCGAATCAATCATCATAATATTCCCTTATCTTTTATTGAGTGTTTTTTTTTTAATGGTGCCACTTGAAAAGGGTTATTTTGATACTTAACAGGACTTGGGAGCCACTGATTTCGAATTTTTAAATGGGGCTTATCTGTAATATTGACTGATTGAATTTGCTGGATAATAATAAGGCATAACACGCTTGGCAGAATGCTATTAAACTGAATGGATCAGTAAGTCGAAAATAGTTGGCATCTGTATTGTTCCTGTTCAAAAAAGAATGAACAGGCACAAACACAAGACGAACTCATGCTGAGGCATACACTACAAACAATTATTCACGTAAATAGCCCCTGATATATTCAGCTTCTATCATTACTCCATAAATATCAATAGAAATTCAGATGAAAGTTACGTGATTATTATATCCGACGATGTTAGGTGTGTTTCCCGTAAATGGTAAGTGATTTGCAAGTATGAAAAAATCAGTGCGATTCAATATGGCCGTGATGCAGCGTTGGTGTCAGTTTGTTGTGTAAGGGTACAAAGACGTAGTCAGGATTCTAATTAGGGGGGGGGGGGGTGGGCAAAACATATTTTTTTTATGGAGAATTAGGTTAGACGCCGATTAGCTGAACACCATTATACTGAACGCTATTATACCGTAAGGATTACTAGGTCGATCGTCGTTTAACCGAAACTGAATTCTCAGTCATACTCCGGCATATGTCATCGGTGCCAGGATGATAGAACCTTTCAAAACTCTAGCGATTGTCTTCAAGTTTCAAGTTTTTTCTAGTCGTATTTCATTTTCATTTTGCAGCGTTTGGTGGGGCAATGGGAGCGCAAGTCAATCCAAAGCCGAGGATAAAGGACGGGTAATGGCTGAATAGTCTATGCGGACCACTTGAACGCCATGGGAAAAGGAAGGGATTGAAGAGACCGGTTATTGGGGGGTTTTGAGGAAATGACACATAGTGATGCTAAATGTAAAGAAACCGAAAATCCATCTCCCACTGATTCATCCTTTCACATATATACCAAATTGATATTTTATTTTTTTTTATTGGGTATCAAGCTGGAGCTGCGTGACAGCTTAGTTTTCAAGACTTGACCCATTTGAATAAATTTTGCTTCTATCTTTGACAATACAGCAGAAGCACTAGCCTATGTTGGCCGCTTGAACACTGGATTCCGTATGCATTGTTTCAAGATAGTTATAGAAAAAATGCTGTGACGTGTGCGCGTAGATACATCCGCGTAGTAAACCCATTGAATAAGTAAATCCGTTTCGAACGAAATATCTAAATTATGTAAGTTACGAAAACCGCGCGAATTCCGAAAGCCGTGCGAGACAACCGAAGCGAGAAAAAAGGCTTATTATCATTTAAAGAGTGCCACCAAAATAAATGTGATAGCCTATGTTGGCAAGTTGATTAATTTTGGTTTCCTCCCTAGATATTCTACTTACTTACTGCTGAGCTTTGTATCAAATTAGTTAATTTAAAAAACGTATAAATTATTTCAAGATTTCGCGACCGCACCGAACAAATTCTATGAGCTCAAAAGCGTTTGACAAACTTTACCGAATTGCGTATCACTTCTGCGTAAGCTCCGTAGACGTAGGCGCGTTGAATCCGACAGTCGGCAAAGGTTTAACCTGTACCAACACCGCTTAAGGAACGACCTCAAGTCAGTGAAACCGTTTATAGCTAAACATCTAAATTACGTAAGATACGAAAATCGCGCAAATTGTGAACGCCACGCGAAACAACCGTAGAGAAAAAAAAACAACTTATTATCACTTAAAGAGTGCCACCAAAATAAATGTGATAGCCTATGTTGGCAAGTTGATTAATTTTGGTTTCCTCCCTAAATATTCTACTTATTTTACTGTTGAGCTTTGTTTCAATTTAGTTATTTTACCGCACGTATCAATCATTTCAAGATTTCGCGACCGTAACGAACAAATTCTATACTACAGAAGCTCAAAAAAACTTTTGGTGAGCTCTACCGCATTTGCGAATCACTTCTGCGTAAGCTCCGTAGACGTAGGCGCGTTGATTCCGACAGCCGCGAAAAGTTAAACATGCATCAATACCACATAAGGAAAGATCGATTTTACGTATGGTTTAGTTCATAGATTAGCATTAACTGCTGTTTACAAATGTAAGTACTTGAACACTAAGAAATAAGTTAACTCAAATGCTTTAACCGCATATATAAGAGATTTCGCGTATTGAGAGAATTATATAGTAATCGAGTACAACAAACTCAGGGGAATACAATACCTCCAAAAGTTTAAAAGCTATTAATTGTCACATACCTTTACTTTTACTTATTTCCTAAACTATTCCTCTCCTTGTTAATCTGCTTAATAGTATTGGTCTGCCTGCGTTTTCTTGTTAATGTTCAAACCTAAATAAGAAGATTTATTCTACAACTTTAAAGGTTAGTTGCCTCCTAAGCGGACCCCCCGCATCCTAATTCTTTTGTTAATCTACTTAATGTCATTAGACTTTCTGAAGTTTCTTATTTAAGTTCATTTGATGATTATGATATCTCATCCCAAGTAGCATTTCTTGTTTTATTGCACTCTATTAGTGGTTATTGAGATCAATTTCATAAAACCGCCAATAAAATTAATAGCTCCAGCACAACCTTTTGATAACCGCTATAAGATCGTCATACAGCTTAGTGGACCACTCTTGATAAGGTTTATAAAGCATGTTTGAGAATCACAATAAAGCTGTCTTAAAACCTTTTGTCAGGAAGCCTCATACTCTACAAAAGGTTCTCATAGCCTCTATAAGAGTAATATTGTATCCAAGCAGTTTTATTACGCTTTGGTGAAAATCAGTTATAAAGCCAATTTAATTTTTATTGGCTTCAAAGCAACCGCCATAAATTAGCTTGTTGTTGTTCTGTTCTGCTGAAACTTTTTTTTCCAAATGGAAATCTTTAGCGGTAAAAATATGTTTGAGTGTTGGTGTCAAGATCACCATGCCATCAATTTTGTTTCATGGCGACATTAGTGAAAATTTTAAAGAAAATATATGACTTTTTAGAAGTTCCAAAACATATGCGCTTGAAATGTTATCGTGTATATTGAGATAATATGAGCGTTAAATAAATGCGCCTCCAAAATAATTCAAGTTAACAAAAAAGATTGTTTTAGAAATCAAATGAATTTGATGGAATTACCTTAATTTTACAGAAAATTGATCTCAATACATAAATTCATACCAATGCACACTGGAAATCATTTCGGATCTCTTATTTAGCCATTATTTTATTGAAATTTCTTGGATTTTATTCCAAGGCTAATGGCATTTTCATAATGACAATATGGCGACAGAGGACAGCAGGCAAGAAAAACACCAAGCGCAATTTCTTAAAATGTCTAATGCTTACATTGCACACTGGGTCAGGAATGCAACCTGGTGGTGTGGAGCAAAATAAATAACTCCGAAACGAAGCATTTCCGATGTTGATGTTGATGCAACGATGCTAGATAAAAGCTTCTTTTATCGATTTATGTGCTGAAAATACCTGGGAATGTCTTTACATGACCGTGGGGATGCAAAGAGAAAGTTGACGAAGCGAATCTGTCAATATTACTTAGAACCTAATGCAATGTTCAGCTTGAATTCATTTTTTTATTTGAGGGCAAATGTATATTCCTATTCTACGGGTGCAACCGATGAATTTTACAAACATTTAGAAAAGTTTTGAATGGTACATTAACCTTTATGAAAAGTTATGCGTGATTTCAACCTTTTTGCCCTAGGACTGTCACCATTTCGACCAAGATTCGACCGTGTCACCCCATGTATATGCGAGCGAGACGTATACACGAAATGTTTTCATGCTCATGCTAACAATTTTGTTGATTTTCTTTGCGCTCCGCTTGGAAGTACCGGAAAGTTTTGATTCTTTTCTATGTTGTAAAAATAAACCACCTATTTACATTTCTGACAAGTCGCAACTGAATGCTTATAATTGTTTTAAAATAACTGTTTCATGGCCAACTAGTTTTATTGCGCTTATTTATAAAGCAACGAAAGGATTAATTTTTTGGTTTTATAAGGGCAATTTATATTACTTTTTTGTATACTTCAAAGCAATCATAAAACCTTTCATAAGTGAAAATAGCATAAGCATCAGTTGGTTTTTTAATTAGCTTTATAGGGGTTTTGAAGATAGTTATAAGAATGTTTCATGACTTGCATTGTATATGACCGTCATAAAGCTGTAGGTAATGGTTGCAGCTGCAATAAAACCTTTATAAATTTTGAATATAGCCAAGCAGCTCTAGATTTGTTACTTGGGATTAGTCTAATTTAATAAATTATTAAAAGCTCTAATTCACCTAATCAATCATAACCCATGCTTTATAAAGTACCTGCACTTGTGCTTGTAATCTAAAATTAAACGTGTTTCAAGTACTTTTGATTTAAGCCTATACCTATTTATTATATCTTAGTTCGACCCAGGTAACACCTTCATGTGACTAAAATGCTTCATTTTGAAGTTAGTTTCCTAGCTGATATTTACATTATATAGGGTATATGTTCCAATTACGCTCTCACGTTTCCACTATGTCGCACCA